ATATCTGTCGCCCTTGACTTATAGGAGCAGGTGAGGGACTACATTTGTGCATACTGAATTTCTTTAAGATCTTTTCCATGTATGCCTTTTGTGACAGTCCTTATACCCTTTTTCTTCTATCTCGGTGAATCTCGATCTCTAGAACGAACGAGTCTTCGTCAAGATCTTTCATATCAAGTTTTGAGGACAAAACTTCTTTGTCTCCTGTAGTAGACTGACATCACTACTAGCAAGTAAGATATCATCCACATACAGGATAAGGAAGATAAACTTCTCATTCTTAAACTTTGCATAGACACAATTGTCCTCTACATTCTCTTTTAAAACCCAAAATTCTTTATTGACTGATCAAACTTCAAGTACCACTGTCTTGAAGCTTGCTTTAATCCATAAAGGGATTTCTTTAGGCGACATCCCATTCGTTCTTTTCCTTCCATGACAAAACCTTTCGGTTGTGCCATGTAACCATTTTCCTCCAAGTCTCCGTTGAGAAATGTCGTCTTTACATCCATCTGATGTAATTCTCAATCGTAATGTGCCACTAATGCCATTATGATTCTGAAGGAAACTTTACATGAGACTAGAGAAAATGTCTCATTGTAATCAATCCTTTCTCTTTGCATAAAGCCTTTTGCCACAAGTCACACTTTATATGTCTCTATATTCCCTTGAGAGTCATGTTTAGTCTTGTAGACCTATTTATAGCCTACTGTTTTGACTTCTTTAGGAATTATTTTTAAATCCTAAACTTTATTGACATTCATCGATTTCATTTCATCTTCCATGGCCTCAAGCCACTTTGATGAATGATCACTTCTCATGGCTTCTTCAAATGAGGTGGGATCATACTCCATTTGAAATTCCTTAGTGTTATACACTTCATAATCAGCAGAAATAGCTGATTTTTTAACTCTTTGAGACCTACTAGGAGCCTTCACATTTGGCACATCTTTCTGTTTGAGACTGTTGTTGCTCCCCCTTATGTGTGGCAATAGGTTCTATAGGATCCTGAAGAACAGGTTCCTCATTTTCATTCATTGTTGCCACAGGTGGGATAACAACAGGTGCTGGCACCACAGTACTTAGCACTGTCGGTGCAGCGACAACAGGTAGTGAGAAATTTGGCTCATGAATCATTGGAGTGGACGTATACACCCGCTTCACTTCAAGGACAATTTCTCGAGCTACCATGCTCCCCCTCATCTTTTCATCCTCTAGGAAAACAGCGTGTCTCGTTCGTTTCCACAAACTTTGTATGTCTCTCTGGACAGTGGAAAACGAAAACCTTTTGACTTTTCTGTGTTGCCAATGAAATGGCACCTTACTGTTTTGGGATCTAACTTCCCAATGTTTGGGTTAAATACTTTAGCCTCAGCAGGACTCCCCCCCACACACGCAAGTGGTTTAGTGAGGGTACACTTTATGTCCACAACTCATACGGTATTTTGGGCACCGATTTACTTGGTACTCTTTTGAGAATATGAATGGGGTTTTTAACGCCTCCATCCACAGGCTCAACTGTAAGGTGGAGTAACTTATCATACTGCCCACCATATCCATCAGGGTACGATTGATTCTTTTAGCTACTCTATTCTGCTGAGGTTCACCTGGTATAGAATATTGAGCTACTATGCCATTCTTTTAGGGTATGCCGACCGTAGTACTCCCCCACGGTCAGACCTGACTATCTTAATCTTTAATATCTTAAATTTATCCAGTACATCTTTTCTTTCTTTGATTGGATAAATATAGCCATAATGGGAGTACTTATATGTAAATGTTATGAACGAATCATAACCATCCATACTCTTTACAGGAAAACTGATCACAGATGTCTATGTGAATAATCTGTAAAATTCCTGCGCTTCGTTTGTCATCTTTCTTAATCTTCTTTACATACTTTTCTTTTATGCATTCCCTGCATTGAACTTAATCTGAGAGCTCTAATGGCGGAAGAATATCATTCTTAACTTGTCTTTCTATTCTGTCCCTCAAAATATGGCATAAACGATAGTGCCATAATTTCGACAACGCATCGTGAGCTCTCTTATGCCACCATTTCTAGAGTAACACTCTGTGACCAACTGCTTTATCAGTTAAGTGGCATATGTCTTTGAAGAGCCAGTGAACTGACTCTTTATTCTATCGAGGTATTCGGTGACCGTGTCACATTCTGGGATTAAGCCCACAATTGCAGGTTCAATCATGTTCTTTATCACCGTCAAACATTTCTTGTTTGCAGTGACCCACTTCCTATGCTCAAAAGCCATATGATATCTTTTGGGATTCAAAATCCCTTTCTTTAGTTGCCCAAGTGGCATCATTCTCTTTTGTCTCCCTCACCGGTGCCACAATCTCAATGGAACACGGTGAGGTGACTACCCAGTCCACCTTAGACAAGATCAAAACCAGGTCAAAACTTTTTTTAACATAAAAATAACACAATTTGCATGTCTTGATTCCAACGTTGGTCAAAATCAAAACATACAATTATTCTTATACACTAATTCTACATCACCGTTGGGCAGAAATAGAATTAATGCATAAATCTTTAACTTTTACAACTGTTCTTACACACTAATTCTACATCATCGTTGGACAGAAGTGGAATTAATGCATAAATCATTAAAATTAACATCAGTTCTTATACACTAATTCTACATCACCGTTGGGCAGAAGTAGAATTAATGCATAAATCATTAACATTATGATATTGTTATTGACAACGTTGGTAAAAAAAACAACAACATCATAATCATATCTAAACTCTTTTTCTCCAATTAAATACCACATTGATTCAAAATAACGGAGAATCAATATTTTCTTTAGCAATGGAAAAAACTTTTTTTCAATTAAATACCACGTTGGTACAAATTAACCGGAGAATAAACAATTTCTCTAGCTATGGAAAAACTTCTCCTTTTCTTGAATTTTACCGACAAGGAAAAATTGTATTTTCTATTTCCTTTAATCCATTAATCAATTTCCAGGAAATAAACATTTACTGGAAAAACTTTTCTTTTTTCCAGTTAAATATCATGTCGGTTCAAAATCACTGGAGAATATACTTTTTTTTAGCAGCGGAAAACATATACTCAATTTCTTAAATTTTACCCACAGGGAAAAAATATCTTTTCTATATTTTCTTTTGAGCCAATTTGCATTTTCAATTTTTCAGGAAATAAAACCTTTACTGGAAAATGAAAAACGAAAGAAAAATGACTCAAATTGATCATCAGATTTTTGGCTGACCGGCCAAAACCAGCCCGGCCTAGCTATTTCTCCGGCTTGCCGCGCACCCAAAGCCGAAACTGGGCTGGGCAGTAAAAAGCACGGCAAGGTGCCTTCGCCCACCTAGGCTGCGGTCGGGCCCGATCATTTGCGTACTGTTCGATCTGATCGACGGCTCGCCCACACGTTTCGGGAGGTCAAAAGCCGCCGCGGCCGGGTTCCTCAGAAACCCTAGTTCATTTTCCTCGTCGCTCTCTCTCTTTGTTCTCTCTCTGTCGTCGTTCTTTTCTCAGCGCAGTGCAAGACCGAGAGGACAGCGAGCGAGAGTGAGCAAGGCGAGCCAGGTGGTGGAGCGTCCATGGCGCCGTCGCTGGCCCCCTCGCTGGCACGCGTGCTCCCCAACGGGTGAGCACGCCGCCGTCGAGCGGCCTGGGCGCAGCACCCCCTTGGCCGAGCCTGGAGAGCCAGCTCCCCGGCTCGGCTTCTTCTCCCGCGCCGGCGAAGGGACATCCGACGCGCGGTGAGGTAGACTTTCTTCCTTTTCTTTTCAAGTTCATCCGAATGGGAAACTAGGGTTAGGGTTCAGGTTCTGACCCTTCTTTTTCTCTTCTTCCCCAATCGGATCTAGGGTTCCTTTCTTTTTCCCCTTCGGATTTGAGCAGGTCTAGGCCGAACCCCTCTTTCTTTGTTTTTCTTTTTGGTGCTCGGATTGAACCGATTTGGATTTCTTTTCTTTTCGGGTTTGATTCTGATTGGGATGAGGGGGTTAGGGTTCCGAATCTCTTCCCTTCCCCTTCTTCTTTTGGGATTAACCCGATTTGGGATGGGGTTACAAATTAGGGTTAGTGTTTCATTTTCTTTTGATTTCTTTTCCTTTTCGGAGTTCATCCGAATCTCTTCCCTTCTTTCCCTTTTTCTTTCTCCGATTTGGACTGATATCTATTTTCCGAACCAAAGGTGGGGATTAGGGTTAGGGTTAGGGTTCGTGTGCCGACCCCTGTTCTTTTCTTTCCTTCCTTTCTTTCTTTGATATGAACACGGATCTCTTCTGTTCTTGCCGTGCGCTGGTGTAGAACAGCGGTGCTATCATCTTTTCCCCCCACGCGGTGGCGGTGGTTTTTCTTTCTTCTTTTACCCGGTTAGGGTTAGGGATACAGAGGCAACCTGGCTCTGATACCATTGTTAGGAACGTAGATTTGTACCTCTGTGTAACCCGTAGAGGTGGGAAGGCTTCTCACCTTCTCTGCTTTCAACAGATCGGCAAGCGTGAGACGCCCGATGCCGTCTCTTGAAAGAGAAGTCGCCCAGCATGTGTGGAGAGAAGTCAGTTCGCCAAGTGAGAGAACCCAGAGGCGCTGACGGTGGTGGGTCACATCCGTCGCTGGCAAAGACGGCCTTTAGATCGGATTAGGGTTTTCTTTAGGTGGGTGAGGTGGCTCCAGTGAACCTCGTTGTCCCAGCCCTCACCTCACCTTCCTTTTTGTGCTTTGTGTGCGATAGAGGCCTACCAACCGAATTAGGGTTGGACTCTCCTCGATCGGGAAGCGTAGATAAGGACCAAATAGACCGTCGGTAGAGATCAACTAACAACTGTTTCACTGTGCACTGTCTCTGCGTGAGTCATAATGTACCACTGACCCCAAGCATTTGGTGCTGCTGCCGCCTTCTGCCATTCTGCTTTCTGATCGTCCAGACTCCAAACCCTCTACAAAACCTCACAGAGCCACAGACACAGGCACATAGGAGTAGCCAGCAACGGCGTGGTGACCATGGGCATGGACATAGCTCACCGAGACTACCTCCTAGCCACGCTCCACACCATCCTCGGCGTCGCCACCCTCCTGCTCTGCGTCCTCGCCGAGCTCTCCATTTTCGCCTTCCGGTGCCACGCGGCGCTGTATCTCGTCCCCGTGGCAGCACTGCTTCTCTTCAACCGCCGCTTCCGGCGCCGTGCTGCCGCGGCCACGGACGACATCGGGCTGGTGGACTTCTCGTGCCTGAAGCCGCCCCTGCCGGCTGCGCCTCCCGGTGGCGGGGCTGCTGGAGCACCTGAGGCTCATCGCCTGCTTCGACGACGGGAGCGTGGAGTTCATGGCCAAGGTCATCGAGGCCAGCGGCATGGGCAACGAGACCTACTTCCCGCCCTCGCTGCACTACATCCCGCCGGCGGCGACGCACGCCGACGCGGTCCAGGAGGCGCACGCGCTCTTCTTCCCCACGCTCGACGACCTCTTCGCCAAGACCGGCGTCCCGCCGTCGCGCGTCGGCGCGCTCGTCGTCAACTGCAGCGGGATCTGCCCGGCTCCGTTGCTCGCCGCCATCATCGCCAGTCGCTACCGCATGCGCGCCGACGTCAGGACCTTCAACCTCTCCGGGCATGGGCTGCGCCGCGGGCGTCGTCGGCGTGGATGTCGCGCGGAGACTCCTGCTCACGCACGCCATCTCCTACGCCGTCGTCGTCAGCGCCGAGATCGTCACCGTCGGGTGGTACAGCGGCAAGGACCAGGGCAAGCTGCTCCTCAACTGCTACTTCCGCACCGGCTGCTCCGCCGCGCTAGTCACCAGCATCCGCGGCGGCGCGCCGACGGTGCCGGTCAAGTACCGGCTCGCGAGCCTGACGCGCACGAACCAGATCATCCGCGGCGGCGCGCCGACGGTGCCGGTCAAGCAGCATCCGCGGCGGCGCGCCGACGGTGCCGGTCAAGTACCGGCTCGCGAGCCTGACGCGCACGAACCAGATCGCCAACGACTGGAGCTACCGCTCGGGGTACCGCGACGAGGACGACGAGGGCATCACCGGCTTCACCCTCGGCCAGGGCGTGGGCCGCATGGTGAGCGAGCTGCTGCGCGCGCACCTCGTGACGCTCAGCCTGTCCATCCTCCCGTGGCGCGAGAAGCTGCGCTACGTGCTGGCACTGCTCCTGTCGTCCCGCTCCCGCCGGCGCCGCCTAGCAGGCGGCGGCGACAACAAGCTCGCCCGCCCCGCCGCGCCGCCGCTTCCCGACTTCCGCGAGGCCGCGGACCACTTCTGCCTCCCGTCGTCGGGCGGGCCGATGATCTGGCGCCTGGGCCAGGGCCTCGGGCTCGGCGAGCGAGAGATGGAGGCGGCGCTGATGACGTTCCACCGGTTCGGCAACCAGTCGGCGGCGTCGCTGTGGTACCAGCTCGCGTACCGTCAATCTACGACGTTCCATTTCCAACCGGATCAAGTGATCGATCGATGTTCTTGAAGAAGAAAGCACTTCATGTCCGTACCGTACGTGCCAATCGAGTTTCCTAGCTACGTGAAGTGAACTCGATCGTGTTTAGTCAATATACTACTAGTATAACCAGTCCAAATATATGCCTTGCAAATTGCAATGGGTTTGTGGTTTGTGATCGATCAAGTTGTGATATGTATTTTTCCCATGAAAACTACGGAGTACTCCAAGTTTCGGTGTGTGCACACGTACGAGGGTCGACAATATCTAGCTGGCTGGCTCACCTGCATTTGCATAGCTGCGTGCCTGCATTTGTGCTTCACAGCTTGGCTCGAGCAGGGTATATATTTTATTTTATTGTACATTTGTTTGTACCACTGTTCTACGAGTAGTACAGTACTACAGAACATGGCAAGGCCAAGAAGCCAAGAACTGTGTCGATGGAACCATGCGATGGCTCCTGGCCTCCTGCGTCCTGCCGCAGTAGCAGTAGCTAGTAAATGTGCGGCAGGTACGCTTGCCTAACGTTCGTTCTTCGTTGTCCATCAGCTGATGACGACGGGGGTGAAGGAAGACAACGCACGTTGCGAAGAGTTATGACTGCCTATCCTTACCAGTCCACCACAGACGCAGTAAAATGTCGTAGTGGCTGTGGTACAAAGCATATGTTTAGTTTCAAACTAAAATTTTAAAAAGTGCTACAATAGTCATCACATTGAATATTTGCGGCCCGTACATGGAGCATTAAATGTAGACAAAAAAAAATTAATTGTACAGTTTGGTGGAAAATTGCGAGACGAACGTTTTGAGCCTAATTAATCCATATTTAAACACTAATTGTTAAATAAAAACGAAAGTGCTACAGTAAAAAACCAACTTCCTAAAACTAAGCACGACCTGAAAATAAAAATGATCGGTTCCCGTCGGTGTGGCTATAGTTCGCTATTTATTATATTATATACAGGTGGCCAGCACGCTGACTTGAGAGGCCGACTGTAGCATCGTGGATTATTTTGCACGTGTTGGCACGTTTTGGTGTGAGAGAAAAACACTGTATTCCTCGATCTAAAATTTACGATCACAATAAAACAGCATCAGCCGGCTTTAATAACAACCGAACAAGCCCGTTTGGTGTTTGTAGCGGTAGTGAGCTGCTATAGTGAAAAAAAACCCTCTATACAGAACACTGATTCTAGTTATAATTTACCATAACTATCTTTAAATAAGTTTGGTTCCAAACTTTAGAGCTAAACTTTGCTATATCTAAGAACATCTTCTCACACTTTTTGTCTAAGGAGACCTTGATATACTTCTTTATTCTATAACATATGGAGTCCAAAAGAGTCTTATCTAAATTTAGTTAACACCAAGCACTTACGAACTTAATAAAATTTATATAAAGTAAAATATAGCTAACAACTGAACACCGCTAAAGGTTTCACCCCCTGACTCGATCTGTAGAGCCAGGCAGCCAGCGACGCTGACTTGAGGTCAAACTGTGCACACTCAGGGCGTGTTTGCACGTGTTCAGGCTCGTTAAGCACTAAATGCTCCTCGTAGTTTATCGGTAGGAATATATGTTTATTTTTTCGATGATTAAAACAACGATCAAACCGGCTTTAATACTAACCGAACAAGCCCCGTTTGATCGTTTAGAGATATGCATGGCTTATATATGAATTTAATTAATAAACTTAATGCACGATTGAAACTATTTTGTAAGAGAAAAATATAGCCTAATTGATTGATAAGTATAGCAGATTCGAATCAAGCGAACATGGTTTTAGGCGGCGACATGGAAAATATGTCCGATCCTGGCAGTGATCCCAGACGTCTGATTTGGAACGTCTATGGCTAGATCAAGCTGCCTGGCCACAGCTCCTAGGCCAGAACGACAACCATACACGCCTTTATTAACATCTAACATTAACAGAACGTTGATAGTCCGAGGAGTCCAGCAACCAGCACTAAATGCTCCTCGTGGAGTCGAAGAGTCACTAACTGTTTGTTTCCGCGATGATTAATCACGCCGCGATTAAAGGGGTGTTCGGTTTCACCAAATAAACTTTAGTCGCTGTCCCATCAAATGATTAGAGATATGCATAGAGTATTAAATATAGACTAATTATGAAACTTAATGCACAGATTAAAACTATTTTACGAGACAAAATTTTTAAGCCTAATTAATTCATGATTTGACAATGCGATGCTACAGTAAACATGTGCTAATGACGACTTAATTAAATTTAATAAATTCGTCTTGCGGATTATAAACGGATTTTGTAATTTATTTTTTTATTAACATCAAACACCATGTATGACACGTCCTAAAATTTAGTCACTGCGTCAAACACCCCTGAGCGAACTGCCTTATCAAACCCGACTGCCCGAAAACCTGAAATGAATTTCATTGCCGCGGAGAAACGGATTTCATTTTCCTTTGCTGATGGTTAGGCTCGTAATCTGCTTTTGTTTTGGCAGGGGATAGGCAGGCATAGTAGGCATGAAACGCCCTGATCCAACGGACCTCTCCATTCTCCCAACACAGTACCAATGAGATCCCGCAAACTAGCGAGTTCGCACATAGCAACACATAACCCTACAGTTTTTGCCCTCTCCGTTCTAAATTATACATATCGAATTTGCTAATTCGTTGCTAATTTGATGTAGAAAAAAAGTCAAAGCAATTTGTAATTTAGAACTGAGGAACTAGTGCAAAAGAGAGAAAAAAGTCAGACTGATAACTTTACCTACTCTTTGGATTGGAAACATGGGATTAGGCAGTTGACTTCAGAATTGCGCCACTAGACCACTACTATTCCGAGCTGGTTGACTTCCGAATGCTACTCTTCCGAAGAGGAATCAGTCACGGCAATCTCTTCGTCCTCCCCCTCGCCTTGCTGGTAACCGCCGGTCTGCTGGCCTTGTGATTCTCCGTCGCCAACAAGCTGCTCCACATCGTAGACGGCTTGCTGCTGGAAATTGAGGAAATCAGGATTGGTCGGGAAAGCCCAATAGTGAGTCGGCTGGTTGGCCGCGCCGGCCTGCTGCGGAACCATCCACATAGCCGCCGCCGGCGGAATCATCTGTTTGCCTTCGCCCGTCGCGCCGGGGCTAGGCGCCGGGATGGCGATGAAAGGAATGGCGCCGGCGGGCGCCGCCACGGGGGCAGAGGCCGGGGCAAGGCCGCTGGACACCGAAATCGCGCCGCCGCCGTTGGCCTGGAGGAGGGGGTCGGCGACGACGGGGTAGTACGCCGCCGTGGGGGCAGGTGCCGCGGGTCCCGGTCCCGGTCCCGCCCCCGCGCCGCGCGTCGGCTGGAGCTTGCGCCGGCGCTTGGCGGCCGGTTCCTGCTGCTGCTGCTGCTCGCCACCGGCGTCCGCGGGGGCCGGCTCGGCGGGGAGGCGGAGGACGCCGTCGGCGCCCGTGACGGCGATTGCGGGGACCGTGCCCGTGCCCGTGGCGGCGATGATGGCCGGCTCCGACTGCTGCAGCAGCCAGCGGATGGTCTCGCCGTCGGACTTGTGCCCTAGGTCCCGCGTGAGGCGGGCCACCCTATCCGCGCACGCCGCCGCCATGCGTATGCGCCGCCCGCGGCCCTCCACCTTGGTGTGCCGGTCACGGTAACCCGGTGCGGGGCGCGGGTTGGATACCTGGAGTCCGCCGCCGCCCAGGAACTCCACCGGTACGGGCTCCGGCTTCGGCAGGCCGGACCCGCCCGCCTGGACCGAGACCATTGCGTTTACCGCCACGGCCCCCGCCGCAGCACCGTTGCCGATCACCTGGGGTGCGAGGTAGAGGGCCTTCGTGCCCTCCTCACCCTTGCCCGGCGCCCGGGACTCCATTGAGAGATCGGATTCGCCTTCGCTTGGGCTCCCCTTCTTCGCGTGGCGTGGGGCCTGTCTCTCTTTTGATTTGGCGGCGACGCCGTCTTTTAAGAGAGACTCGCCCTGGCGTTTTTATTTAATCTCTCTGGATCATGGGTCCCGCCCCGCAGATAGGGTTACTGGTCCACCGCTGAACGGGGCCGAACTTGCGGGGACATTGGAATGGGACGATTCGGCCCACCACCGCCCACGGCAGGTGCAGGGAAGAGAAAATCTTTTTTATTTTTCATTTTTATATATTGTTTAAATGTCTTTTTGACAAAAATAAATGCCTGGGAAAAAGTAGCAGAAATATATTTATGCAAACAAGTTTAACCAGCGAAATCTAAATACACCCGTTCCAACCGGCAAAATTCAAATATGGCCAAATGAACTAAGGGCCGTTTGGATCCTTTCGTTCGGAGGAATTAAAATATACTTAATAAATTAGACTATTTGGCTTGAAATTTGACATTCCACCGCTTTTCAAAATTCACATATAAGTCTATCTCAAATTTTATAGGGTGGGAGATAAAAATTGATTCTATATATTACTATTCTATATGTTTCTACTTTGCAACTTACACGCTCCTCAACTCATATAAGTATCTTCATTCTATGTTTCTACTTTACAACTTCAAATATTTGGAACACTATGAAAGTTATAGTTCTCAAGAGAGTGCGTTGAAAATTTGGGACTAAATATTTGGGACTTTTATGTAGTCATATAGTCCCAAATATTTGCAACTTCAAATAAGAAACGTATAGTACTCAACACACTCCATTCTATATATCATCATTCTATGTTTCTACTTTGTAACTTATAACACGCTCTTCACCGCACTCTCTATGGTAGAAATGCAACACATAAATATCTCTCTCGTATAGTCAACAATAATATATAAATATAATCCATATACAACCATACTAGCTTCATTAATATGTGTCTAAATTATGATTATTAAAATAAATTCAATTCCAAGGATCCAGACGGGGCCTAATAGAAAATTGACATAGCACCTGAACTAGCGCATGTCCTGTTTTAAGGTGCATTTGGTTTAGGAGTGGGATAAGGGTCCACTTTGTCCCGATGTTTGGTTGTGAGATAAGTGAGTGAACCATTCCCAAAAGAAACTAGTCTTCAAAGATATTGTCCCTTGATGT